AGAGCTTTGGAAATAATACAAGAATTTGGTCAGGTGGCAGGTTTTAAATTGAACAAATCAAAAACAATGGTTTTGGAAAAGAACCTGACACCGATTGAGAGGGAAAGGTTTCAGGGAGAAACAGGTTTATCAGTGGTGAAAAAAGTGAAATACCTAGGGGTGAATATGACCTCAAAAAATGCTAACTTATTTAAAGACAACTATGAGAAGTGTTGGTCAGAAGTGAAAAAAGATCTTGAAATTTGGACAAATCTGAAGCTTTCCTTATTGGGTAGAATTGCGGTTATCAAAATGAATGTATTGCCAAGAATGTTATTTTTGTTTCAGACGTTACAAATTATTGACAAGATGGACTGTTTCAAGAAGTGGCAAAAAGAAATTTCTAGATTCGTCTGGCAGGGCAAAAAGCCCAGAATAAAATATAAAATCCTTACTGATACTAAGAACAGAGGAGGGTTTGCCCTGCCAGACTTTAAGTTATATTATGAAGCAGCAGCTTTTTGCTGGCTGAAGGAATGGCTACTTCTTGAGAACACAGACATTTTGGATTTAGAAGGTTATGATAATGCTTTTGGGTGGCATGCATATCTGTGGTATGATAAGGTTAAAGCTCATAAAGGTTTTAAAAATCATATTGTCAGAAAAGCACTACTCAATGTCTGGACTAGATATAAAGATTTGTTAGAAAGTAAGACTCCTAGGTGGTTGTCGCCAATGGAGGCTAAAGCTGTGAAAAAGCTTAATATGGAATCTAAATGGCCGAGATATTCGGAAATTTTGGAACAAGAAGGGGACAGGTTGAAATTGCAGAGTTATGAGAAACTTAAAGATAAGGTGCGAGACTGGCTACACTATTTTCAAATAAGAGAGGCCTATAATTTGGACAGGAAAATTGGCTTCCAGGTGGAAAAATCAAAGTTAGAAACAGAACTGTTAGAACCCAATGCTAAGACACTGTCGAGAATGTATGATTTGTTGCTGAAATGGAATACTGAGGATGAAACGGTTAAATCGGCTATGATAAAATGGGCACAAGACATAGGTCATAATATCATGTTTGCTGACTGGGAACGGTTGTGGACCACCGGTATGAAATTTACGGCATGTAATGCCTTAAGAGAAAATATTATGAAAATGACTTACAGGTGGTACATGACACCAGTCAAGCTTGCAAAGATTTATCATTTGCCTGATAATAAGTGTTGGAAATGTAAAGAAACTGAAGGAACATTCTTTCACCTTTGGTGGACGTGCCCAAGGATTAAGGCATTCTGGGAAATGATCTATAATGAACTGAAAAAGGTATTTAAGTATACTTTTCTGAAGAAACCAGAGGCCTTTCTCCTGGGCATAGTTGGCCAATTGGTGCCAAAGAAGGATAGAACTTTTTTATGTATGCTACAGCAGCAGCAAGAATACTCATTGCAAAGCATTGGAAGACGCAAGATCTACCCACCCTGGAAGAATGGCAGACGCAAGTAATAGACTATATGGAACTGGCAGAAATGACCGGCAGAATCCGAGATCAAGGGGAGGAACAGCTCGAAGAGGACTGGAAAAAGTTTAAAGTCTATTTACAAAAATATTGTAAAATTCATGAATGCTGAAGGCTCTGAAAATGAAATGAAGGGGTTCTAGCGATTAAGATAAATAAGATTATAAAGGGAGGGACAAAGGTTTAAAACGAATAATGAAAGATCTTGCTGAACTAATTTTTAAAATAGAATGCAAGAAGGGAAGGCGGGTGGAAGTAAAGAGAATAAGGTTTTGAAAATTACTAATATGAAGAGTGTTCTTTTTATGGTAAATTTTTTCTTTTGTATTTTTCTTTTTTCTGTTTTTCTGTTTGGATTTTTGATGTTTGCTGTGTGTTTTTTGTAATCTTTGTTGATTTTTATTAATGTTGTTCTTTTTGTAAAACTCTAATAAAATATTATGATAAAAAAAAATAGAACAACAGGATTCAGAATGCAGCAGTCTGATTGGTCCTAGAACAATAGGATCCAAAATGTAGCAGTTTGATTGGTCCTATAACAATAGGATCCAAAATGCAGCAGTCTGATTGGTCCTAGAACAATAGAATCCAAAATGCAGCAGTCTGATTGGTCCTAGAACAATAGGATTCAGAATGCAGCAGTCTGATTGGTCCTAGAACAATGCAGCAGTATGATTGGTCTGCAGGAGCCACCCAATCCAGCTCCAGGTGGAAGTGAATCCACAACCTGATTGGCCTACAGGAGAATCCTGGAATTAGCCAATCACGTGCAGCCCATTGTGTAAATAATGTATATACAGCAGACATTCTGGGGGAACTTCCATTCCTCCTCACCACTATGAGCTGAATAAAGAGCATGAAATCCACTCTCGACTCCGAGTATATTTCACCTATTAAATCCTGCTTTCCCCCTCCAGACTGCCCTGTTACTTTTACCTACATAGCAATTACCCTTTTGTGGAGGTGTATTCCAGGCTCAAAAACCTGAGTGTTTGGCTTCTGAAAGCACAAGGCCACATGAGCAAGGAATCTGGCTCTGTTGTCACTGTCCTGGCTTCCTTCCCATTTTGCCCAGCACATTATCAAACGTTACAGCTGTAACTTAGCGCAGCAGCTCTGCCCAGCTAATCGGAGTTGTTTATGTCTTCAGCAGCCTTCGCCCATTCCTGAGAAGTGTCGCTAATGAGATGCTGTCAGCTGCAGGGATGTGAGGAACCTCTTGCACTCGCGGCGGATAATTCAGGAGGCCACTTCAGCAGCTGCCCAGACTTGCTCAGAGAGAAGATGACTGCCTTTCAGTTACAATTAGTCCGTGCGCTCCACAATCTTTGGCAGGCTGCAGCAAAAAGGCCCGCTTCTCTTTGCATTTGATCTGAATGACTGCGCCAGATTCTGGTGTTTTCACTTCAGTACCAGGCTGTACAGTGGGATGCAGCTTGGGGAACCTCCATAGTTCAGTGCTAGAGTGCCTGCTTTGCATTCACATGACCTCAGGTTCAATCCCTGGCATCTCCAGAAAGACCCTTGACTGAAACCCCAGAGACCTCCTGCCAGTTTGTGTTAACAAGACTAGGCTAAATGGACCAATGGTCTGATTCACTATAAGGCGGCTTCCACGTACCTACGGGACCGCCTCTCCTGGTATGCCCCGTGGAGGACCTTAAGGTCCACAAATGACAACATTTTGGAGGTCCCAAGTCACAAGGTGGTTAGATTGGTCTCAACTAGGGCCAGGGCCTTTTCAGTACTGGCCCCGACTTGGTGGAACGCTCTGTCAGAAGAGACTAGGGCCCTGCGGGACTTGACATCTTTCCGCAGGGCCTGCAAGACAGAGTTGTTCCGCCTGGCCTTTGGTTTGAACTCAGTCTGACCCTTATGTTTCCCTTCCCTTATGGTTTTGATCTATGGGCTACTTTTAAAATGAGGCTGCATTTTAAATTGCATTTTAATCTGTATTTTAAATTGGTTTTTCCCCCCTATTATGTTTTTACTGTAATTTTACTGGTTTTAGCTGCCCTGAGCCTGGCTCTGGCCGGGGAGGGCGGGATATAAATAAATTATTATTATTATTATTATTATTATTATTATTATTATTATTATTATTATTACCTGCCCTCTCAACACCAGCGATGCTGCAGCTTCCCTGGATGGTGATGGGGTGGGGTGAGGAAAGGCAGTGGTGAGGTCAGGGCTGTATGGGTGCACAGAATCACATAATCATAGAGTTTGAAGGGTCCCCAAATGCCATCTAGTCCAACCCCCTGCAATCCAGGAATCTCAACTAAAGCCTCCATGACAGATGGCTATCCAACCTCTGCTTAAAAACCTCCAATGAAGGAGATTCCTATGGGAGTCCATTCCACAATCGAATGGACTCCGTCAGGATGTTGTAGACCAGGGCCAGATTTAGAAGCCCTAAACACTGAAAAGATTTTGGTCCCCCCATATATATCTAATTCAAAATATAAACAATAATAAACCGTAAAATAATCCCGCCCCCTGAAATGAAACAAAACCTACAGTATGATGGAAAATAATTGTTATTTGTGTATGCTTCCACTTTATTTATTTATTTACTTACTTACTTATTTGTTATTGTTGTATTTTTGGGGATGCGGGTGGTGCTGTGGATTAAACCACAGAGCCTAGGACTTGCCAATCAGAAGGTCGGCGGTTCGAATCCCCGCCACGGGGTGAGCTCCCGTTGCTCCTGCCAACCTAGCAGTTCGAAAGCACGTCAAAGTGCAAGTAGAGAAATAGGTACAGCTCCGGCGGGAAGGTAAACGGCGTTTCCATGCGCTGCTCTGGTTCGCTAGAAGTGTTTTAGTCATGTTGGCCACATGACCCGGAAGCTGTACACCGGCTCCCTCGGCCAATAAAGCGAGATGAGCGCCGCAATCCCAGAGTTGGTCACAACTGGACGTAATGGTCAGGGGTCGCTTTACCTTTACCTTAACCTTATTGTATTTTAACTCCATTTATTGTGGGAGCCTTTTTTTGGTTCAGCTGCACCATGTGGTCTATGGTGAATTCAGCAATGGAAAATTTCTGTGGTGCCCCCTTTCCCTTGATGCATACTTTGCTTAATGCTTAATCCAGCCCTGTTGTGGACTCTCCTTCACGGGAGGTTTTTAAGCATATCCACTCTGGCCTCAAAAGAGTGCAAAAATAGCTACGGTGTGAGCAGGGCTGCATCTGAGCCATTGTGGCAGAGAGAACAGAGTAGTGACATGTGCTCCTTGGGAGCTGTTTTGCATGTGCTTCAGCATAGGGATGTGGGACTTTAGGATTCCATCATATTGGGCAGGTCTCTCATGTTCTTTGCTGCTAACCAACGTCAAAAGGAAGTTACTCAGCACTTCTTATTCCCCACCCATCCCCCTTGAAGCGGTTTCATGGACAGTATATTTCCACGTTCGCATTGTGCCATTATTCCTCATCCTGTAGCTCCAACAAAGGCTGCCCTCTTTGCTTTCCCCTACAACTTACTGGCTCCAGAGCTCCAAGAGGTCGCAGGTCACAGAGGAATCCATCGAAACAGGAAAGGGAGCTTCCTCGGTCCAGCTTCAAACACTCAAAAACCTGTTTCCTCTCTCCGCCACAAATAAAACCCCCAACCGGGGATTCACTGCAGGTTCATTGTGAAAGCAGCGGCTTTGAGACAGGGAAGTATCCAGAGTCTTCTATATATGAGAGAGTCGCTGCAAAGTTCTCACAAGCCAAGAGAATGAGGGAGGTATTCTTGCTGCTGAGCTTGCTGGCCTTGGGATGCAGCAGTGCAGAAGTCGAAGCAACCAGCGCACCTGCGGTGGAGAGCGAAGCGGAGAGCAGCCACCTGGGCTTGACTTCACCTGAAACGCAGGACCTCAGAAATGTATTGGCAACCTCCCTGCCTCCTACTTCAGAGAAGCTGGATGCTTTGCTGAATGCAAGCCAAGAGGAAGGTGAAAAGCACAGCTCTCCTCTAGCCACGAAAGAGGCACAGGGGTTGCACACTCCATCAGAGCAGAAGACACCCTTGGCCCTTACCGTAACTCCTAGCCCAGGGAATAACAGTGACGGCGGTTCTCCCAATGGGAAGCGATTCATCCTGCCTAGCAATGCTGGGGTTCCTCCACCATACCATCCTTGGAATCGCCTTCCTCCAAAGGAAGTTTCTGAGAAAAACCAAGGGACTATGGTGAGCAGGTCTTCCAGACACTCAGAAGATAGCAGCAAGCAGAATGCAGATCTCAAAAAGCCCAGCTTCGAAACCACCAGAGGAAAGTAAGCAGAACCGTTTAACTCTTCCCCCCCCTCCTCTTTGCTCATTGTACCTAGAGAACCCGACTCAACTCGTGGCATCCTGTGCAAGGCTCCTTCTAGTGCTGAATTTGGCCTGAATTCCTGGGATAAAGGCCTGGAAGTAAGGTCATAGCGAAAGAGGGTTGGCTGCTCCAAATTGACAAAGTGCAGTGATGGGAGGAGTGGCTGTGATCCTGCAAGTAGTTACACTGTTTAAATCCTGTTGATTTCACCGGGAGATAAAGCTTATACACCTATGTGCAGGATTTCAGCGAGAGTCTGCAGTGCAAGGTATTGCAGTATTAAAAAACAAAACAAACAGAAATTTAGTAAAGGGGAAGAGGGGTTTAGGAATGTCCTGTCCTGTGCAGTACCTGCTAACTGACAAATGCTTTATTGTTGCATTGGCAACATACAGAGAGAACACAGCAAGCCATTGTTTTGAGGACAAACCATGGTTTAGAATCCTAGATCCAAGTTACGGTGGCCAAGTTATGCACACACTGACCACACCCATCACAAGCCCTGCTTGGCACTCTTGACTGCTTCCTGCTTGGCAGGGGGTTGGACTCGATGGCCCTTGTGGTCTCTTCCAACTCTATGATTCTATGATTCTATGACTGTATTTGCCTGACTTGTATACATAGTCTTGCTTACCTGAGTGGAGGACCTCTCCTCTTGGGATGTATAGGGTGTTCGGGGAGGGGTGGTAGGGGTTGGACATACATTGTTCTCCTTCTGGATAATATGTCGACCTTTGGTCCCCACCTGACACTCAGCTCTCACCTGTGGCTCCCAGAAGCTGTCTGCATGCGACAACAGCCACACCCCGGGAATGGTTCCATTTGGCCGGCTAAACCAGGTGAAGATAGGCAATGGGTTTTGAATGCTTGGTGAGTTAGTTGAGAGCCAGTAGTGGTTAAGAGTGGTAGATTCGTAATTTGGGGAACCGGGTTCGCGTCTCCGCTCCTCCACATGCAGCTGCTGGGTGACCTTGGGCCAGTCACACTTCTTTGAAGTCTCTCACCCCCTTTCACCTCACAGAGTGTTTGTTGTGGGGGAGGAAGGAAAAGGAGAATGTTAGCTGCTTTGAGACTCCTTCGGGTAGTGATAAAGCGGGATATCAAATCCAAACTACTACTACTACTACTACTACTACTACTACTCTTCTTCTTCTTCTTCTTCTTCTTCTTCTTCTTCTTCTTCTTCTTCTTCTTCTTCTTCCCCTGCATGAGGAGACAGGCTCCAGCAGATTGAGTGGACAAGACCAATAGTGGGTCCAATGGTCAAGAAGGCGGTTTTTGTGAGGGGCAGATGAAGTGAGGGGCAGATGGGGCTTTTCACCCTGGGAAGGTAGCAGTCTAGGAGAAGGAAAACTCTGATCCTAAACCTCTGCTGCCTTGAGGGACATCTTTGGGAGAAGTAAAGGCTAAGGAGTAAACCCTACACAGATCTGGAGTGGCGTCCCTTAGACTTACATCTCCTTCTGGCAACTCCTGAAGCCAAGCTGGTGCCAAACGTATTGCTCTGCTTTCCTTTGGTCTACATGGCTGAGAGTTGGGTCTTGTTGTCTAGGCAGCCCAGGACCTCCATACACACGGCCCAGGCTTGCACCCCAGAGAGGTCACTTTGCTAACACCACGGTTTGACTTCACCCGCAGAGGCACCCTCCACTGTCTCTCAAGACAGATAGATGCCAGCAACCACTCTCTCCTCTAAGAAACTTAAGATATGATACACATGGCTGTCTATTTCTCTGTCTCCCAGCCTTTATCCTCACAGCAACCCTGAGAGGTAGATTATGTTGCGAGGTGGCGATTGGCCCAAAATCATGCAGTGAGCTTCATAGCTGAGTGGGGTGTTTGAACTGGTGAACAGTCCTAACCAGATGCTCTTATCTAGAATTAGACAGATGACATCGTCAGATTACAACTCCCATCCTCCCCAAGCAGCACGGACAATGGTCAGGGATTCATGGGAGTTGGAGTCCAACAACAGCTGGAGGGCACCACATTGAATACTCTTGCTCTAACCACTACACCACACTCCTGGGTGCTAATTCTAAGTTGTTTAAAAATCTGAGTCATTTAGCTGCTCTCAGGCCAGGGTTGCAATCCAACGAATGCTTCCTGGAGAGTACATTCTATCTGACCTAGTGGGATCTACTTCGGACATGCATGGAACAGCTCCAAAGAAAGATGGATGCAACCCATTCTAATCACCCACTTTTTTATTTTCGGAATGCATTTGCCCGAATTACATGAATAATGACTATGTGGCGAAATTAAGCCATTTGTTCAGATGGTATGTGCAGGGACAATGTGTACAAATTATGAGAGCATTGAAATGCTTAGTGTTTCCCCCATGTGCATTTTTGCTCTTTTTGCCTGCTGAAATAATAGCATTATATTACAGAAATAAATTTAACACTATGAACCAGACCGGATATTAAAGGACTATAAGCCTGGAGATGAATCCAGCTTTGGAAAACATATTAAAATGTTCCGGAAAGCAGCAGAAGCCCACGGCTTGCACACTCCCATGTTTTGTAGAGACGTGGTAGGCACCACAGGGAAACAGATGCAATGCAGGGTGTTAAGCAGGGGTACACAGGACAAAAGATTTTGGTCACTGCAACTTCTTTAGCCCCTGACTGCGGAAAGTGTGATTAATGGAGAAAGTGAGTAGAGAAGAGTTCTTCTTCCTCTCTCATAGAACTAGAACTTGTGGACATCCAATTGAGATGATTGTTAGGTGTGCAGGACAGATCAAAGAAAGGATTTCTTCACAGAGTTAAACTATGGAACTCCCTGCCACAGGAGGCTGTGACGGCCATCAACTTGGATGGCTCTAAAAGAGGATTAGGCAAAGTCTTGGAGGCCAAGGCTATTAAGAGCTATTAAAGGTAAAGGGACCCCTGACCATTAGGTCCAGTCGTGGCCGACTCTGGGGTTGCGGCGCTCATCTTGCTTTATTGGCAGAGGGAGCCAGTGTACAGCTTCTGGGTCATGTGGCCAGCATGACTAAGCAGCTTCTGGCGAACTAGAGCAGCGCACGGAAACGCCATTTAACTTCCTGCCGGAGTGGTACCTATTTATCTACTTGCACTTTGACGTGCTTTCGAATTGCTAGGTTGGCAGGAGCAGGGACCGAGCAATGGGAGCTCACCCCGTTGCGGGGATTCGAACCACCAACCTTCTGATCGGCAAGTCCTAGGCTCTGTGGTTTAACCCACAGCGCCACCCGTGCCCCTATTAAGAGCTACTAGCCATGATCTATTATCATGCCTTCCATCAGCTTTGCTGAAAAGCCACAAATGTTTGACTTCTTTCTAAATATGTCCACTGCTGCTGCCGCTGCCTACAAGGCCTCTGTAACTATAAGTGAGAGATTGAGATGGCGTTTTTTCCTCCTCCCTCCCCAGTCCCTTTTCCTTTTGTGAGGGCAAGGACTTTCTCGTTGATATTCAAAAGCTGCCCTGGGAGCCTTTTTGCTAGCTCTTTGCTCCTAGTTTAAGTATTCTGTCTCCCCCCAAGCACAGAATAAGTCAGTCTTCCCTCAAGCAGGTGTTTTCCAGTTCTTTTTGACTGCAACTGCCACAGTCCCAGTGAGAATGATCATGTTGGAATGGGCTGATGGAAGTTGTAGTCCAAAACCTCTGGGAAGCACCAGGCTGGGGCAGGCTGCAATCAGGCCCCTTGGACCTCTCAGGTGCAATTACATTACAAACGTTCCAGGTAACCTGACAGCCTTTCCTTCCGCCACCTTTTCATGCACAGGGGGAAGGAGGTGTGATACAACCTGCCGCAGATAAATCAGAGCTATTTTTTTAAAGGGGATGTTAATTGCAGAAAACACACACCCGGTGGCTTACAAAACACACACAACCAAATCTAAGTACATGTTTTCCAAGCTTCCCTCATGTGGGGAAGATTACTGGGTATCATCGTGACATCGTGTGCTTGTTGAACAGTGAGGGAAACGTAGAACCAAGAATCTAATTTGTCTCTCAAGACTCCTTTGACTGTGAAGGTGATGCTTAGCTAAGAGATTATAATCACAGGGGGAGAAATATTTCTTTCTAATCTGGACCATCAATAGAAGCCTGGCAGTGGGTTGTGCTTGTTTGTTCGTTTTGTTTTTGCCATCTTCCAAAGTGCTGCCGTTTAACATGAAAGCAGAGAACTCTTCTCTCTGAAAGCTGCCAGAAGTGATCCTACTTTTCTTCTTGCTTCACTTCCAGCACCAAATTGCAGACTTTATAAGAACTTTTCTGCACGCACGCTTCCATTCACACAAGGTATCCTAATGCTAGTGAAGGCAAGGCCTTTTGTTCCAAACTCCTCAACTCTAGTGATGCCGCACCCCTGTTTGCTGTGCTTTGCAGAAGACGCACCTGCCTCATCCAGCGCCATTTGCATAACGAATACCTCACAGATGAGAAATTTAATGAACACTCCAAAAAAAAAAAAAAAACCCCAATGTGCAGAAAGGCCTGTAATAAAGGTTTTTAGAAAAGGAAATGCGTCAAGGTGCATCCTTATCTTCTGAGAAGTAGCTTCTTACATTGCCACCTGTTGGAAGATGAGAGCAATTTTTCATGCTAAGAAGCTCAAATTGTGCATGTTCTCCTGGTTAGGAGTCGCACACCTTAGAGCTAAAAGTTCCATCATCCTCTTTAATAATAATAATTTTATTACCTGTCCTTCGCCAACAGGTCCCAGAACCAAGTTACAAGAAGTTAAAGTTCAGTATTAAAATCAGTTAAAACAAATTGCAGTTACAAGGGGCTAGGGAGGGTCCTGAAAACATACTTTTAGAACTTTATTGTCTCAGAAAGTGAGGATGCAAGAGGGGAGGGTCAAAGTTTCAGGAAGCCCCCTCCTTATCTGCCTCCACACATCATTGCCTGTTTCGTGGTCCTGTCACTAGGGATGGGCAAATCGTCAACTTTGGCTTCTCCTAGCTCACATTTAAGATCA